CAAACCAAGAAGTTGACATTGTGACAGTCCACAAAGTGTATTCAGGTTGCAGCAGTTTTACATGTGCCTAGGTGTGATTTTAATTCTGTGTGACTTTATCACAAGTGTAAATCCATGAACTACTACCACAGTCAATATAATTGTATGGATTTCTTGTGCTATCCTTTTATAGCTACCCTGACCTTAACCTTCTGTCCCCTCCACTAACCCCTGTCAACCACTGATTGGTTCTCCATCTCTATAGTTTTGCAGTTTTTGTTTTCAGTTTTTCAAAAGATATAATATTTTTCGTTGTATGTATTTACTCATGTGTAATACTTAGAAATTTAGCTACATGGGCAACTATGTCTTGTTTTTCATGTAAAAGTCTGGAAAATGGAAATAAAGAAAGCAACAAAGGGAAAGGCAGGAAGATGCAGAGGTGAAAAACTAAAGATTGTGATAATATTGGTGAGGAAGAAGTAGGTGATGGCAAAATAAATAATTCTAGAGCTAAGGCTCAAAATATTAGATTGATATTTCAAGTTTCAAGGAATGTGATCTCATGATCTTACTAGATGTTCACATAGGAAAAACTAAGTTCTGTGTTGTTTATAGCTAAAGCATTATAATTTTAGTGAAGTTTTTGACAGTCAGGAATCCATAGCCAAGTGAGGCTGCATTAATCCTCGGGCAGCAATGATTTTGCAGATCTGTGTTGTTGGCAGGGTTCCCTTTTAGTTCTCAACTTCTACTTTTGCTGCCAGGTTTGTCTTTTAGGGAGAGGTGTAGAAGGTCCCGTGTATGTCCACGACCCAAGCACTTTTAATTCACCTGGTTGCAGTGGTTGCCTTCTTAAATCAGGGGTTCAGGAAAAGGCAAACCAATTCTAAAAAGTAGATCTAGAGCTAGAGAAAACAAGAATGGCCAAGTATTGACAGTCATTAAACTGAGTAGGAGCTACTTGGGAGTTCTTTACTCTGTTTACTTGACTTTTGTGTGTTTGAAATTTTCCATAATTAGAAAGTTGAAGAAGAAGATAATAAAAGCAGAAAGCAAGAGAATAGTTGTGAGTGAGAAAGTCAGAGCCTGTTGAGGGCAGCCCATGTCAGGAACTGAGCTGTTTATATGAACTTTGAAAATGAAAGCAATTTTTTTTAAAGTTGAATTTTTAAAAAGTTGGCCTTATTCTTACATCTCATTTGATTATTTACAGAGGACTTGCTGTGTGCCAGGTGCCATTCAAGACAGCAAGCTCAGCAGTGAACATCTCAGATAAAACCCCTACTTTTCAGAGGGCTTACATTGTATGCAATAAACACCTCATTATATAGAGTATGTCTCCCTAAAAGACAAACCTGGTAGCAAAAGTAGAGTATGTGATATGTGCTATGTCGTAGACCAAGACAGCGGAGGTGATGTTGCACTTTTAAGAGGACAGGGAAGACTTCATAGAGAAGGTGACCTTTGAGCAGGGACTGGAAGGTAGGGCAGAGGAAACTGTACAGGTCTCTGGCAGAAGCCCTCAGGCAGATACAGTTGAGTTTCACTTGAAGCAGGGTCTGTGGTATGTGATGGATGGCAGGAAGGTCAGAGTGACTGGGTTGTGGTATACTGTATAATGGATTTCCAGATGTGTCCATGTCCTAGTCACTGGACCCTGTGAACATGCTTTCATGGTAAAGGGCCTTTGCAAATGGGATTAAGTTAAGGATCTTGAGATGAGATGGGGGATTATCTTGAATTATCCAGGTGGGCTTAATGTAATTACAAGGCTCAGAGAAGAGAGAACTTGCTTCTGGCTTTGAAGATGGAGTAAGGGGTCCAAGCTAAGGAGTAGAGATGGCAGCTAGAAGCTGGGAAAGGTAAGAAATATATTTCCCCTGGAGCCTCCAGGAAGAATGCAACTACTACCTTGATTTTAGACTTCTGGCCTCCAGCACTGTGAGAGGAAATCTCTGTTGTTTTATATCACTAAGTTTGGTAGTGTGTTAGAGTAACCATGAGAAACTAATAGAGTGGCACTGAGTGGGAGGGAATAAGAGAAAGGATGGTCAGAATGTAAAAGGCGTTTTAACCCACTAAAAGAATTTAAAGCTTCATTCTGAGTGGCCTGGGAAGGCTTTGAGTGTTTTGAGCAGAGGAGTGACAAAGGCTTACTTTGATTTATTTTATTTGTTTTGTAGTACTGTGCTGGGAGCCATTAGCCAAGTAGGTATGACAATTTCCTTGCCAGCGTACCCCATGTTGCTGACATGTTGCAGTGACATTGAATGTAGGTGACCTTGCTCAAGGACCAAGGCAGATTAGGGTGTTCCCGGTTTTAAGATAATCAGATAATCGTGTTTAGGGCATTCCAGGTTTAAGATTATTCCTCCTGGGAATAGGGCGTATCCTGCTGCCTGAGTTCCCCTTGAGTTCTCACGGGATTCAGACAGTAATTTGGGGGAGATAGAAGCCCAGTGGAGGTGGATTTGGGCAGAGAACGTGGATTTCCCCAGAACGTGATTGTAGACGGCTGGTGTGAGTTCGGGAATAAAGAGTTGCTGTTTGAATCTACAAGCTGTGTGGTGGCTCGTGATTGTGTGCCCAGCCAGACTGTGGCATTTGTGCCCAGCCAGACTGTGGCAGTACTGGGGATGGAACCCAGGGCCTTGTGCATACTAGGCAGGCACTCAACCACTGACCTACACTTCCAGCCCCTGACTTTCTTTTTAAGTGGGATCATTTTGGCTGCTATGTGGGGAATAGGCTGTTGGGGGACAAGCATGGCAGTAGAGAGACCACTCTGACCTGAAATCATCCAGAGACGAGAATGTTGGCTGGGCCAGGCTTGCCCCAGCAGAAGTGGGCAGAGTCAGAATTGCCGATGGGTTGAATGCACGAAGAGAAAGAAAAGTCAGCCAAGACTCCGAGGTGTGGACTAAGGAACTGGAAGGATGAGCTTGCAGTTTGCTGAGAAGGCGAAAACTGTGTGATGAGCAGGTTTGAGGGGAAGACCAGTAGTCAGGTGTGAGGCTGGAGGTGAGTTCTGGGTTGAGCTCTGGGTTGAGATGTTAAGTTGCGAGCCCTTTGCACGTCAATAGTATTTGAGGCAGGTAACTCAAGAGAACATGAAGGAAGTGCATGTGGGAAGAGGAGGATGTTCAGGGATGTCTATGGATATGGTGTGTTCTCCCCAAGCAGATGTGGTATGTGAAGGTGTGAATGGAACAATGACATTTCCCCTTTGTAATCTTTGTTGATAACCTTAATCCAGGCAGAGCTAACACAGCTAATTTTCCAGCCACGAGCTCGCTCCTCCCCATCCCCCATCCCAAATGTGGTGATTCACAGTGGTGCTATAAAACAAAATGCTGGAGACACTTTTATTAGCAAATTCTTGCAGCTGAGGCTCACTCAGTGGGGCTTTCACTGAGCCAGGGCCTTTCCAATTCTGGTGTATTAAAGAAAGACCATTGGACCTTTGGAAAATTCAGGCTTGTAAACTTGCTACATTTAATATAAGTCAAGAAATCAAAGCAATTAGAAAGATTTTCTTTTGGTTAGCCCCTTTAAATTTTGCTTGTGAAAGTTTAACTAGATCCTTGCTGATTTTTTTTTCTTCAGAATTAAATTCTTAAAGGCTGTCATTTTTCTTCTCCTTTAAAAGAAGTTAAAAAGCACCTTCCATTTATAGTTTGCTAAAGAAATTGCTGGCATACTTTCATTTTTAATGCCTAATTGTGGGTACAATCCTGATCCCTTTTTGGAAGTAATTCTCACCTCTACCTTTTGTAAATCCCTCAAACAGATGTGTGTGTGTGTGTGTGTATGTATGTGTGTGTGTATTATCCAGGATCCTGAATATTATTTTTTGCAGACTAAGAACTGAGTTCTGGCATTAGTGATGTGGATAATGCACCAAAATGTCAACTTTTTATTCTCAGTTTTTTAGTTCCTAAACCTTTTTTGCAGGTTTTCAGATTGTTATTTAAAACAACTTGGATCTTATAGAAGGTCTGAGATGTTTGCGGCTCCTGAAAGTCCCACTGAGAACTTTCTCCATTTTTTTTTCTTCATACATGTACTTTGGATAATGATGATCATCAATTCCACTATCATTTCTAACTCCATGCCCCCTCCCTTCCCTTCCCACCCCTCTGACCTATCTAGAGTTCGTCTGTTCCTCCCATGTTCCCCCTCCCTACCCCACTATGAATCAGCCTCCTTATATCAGAGAAAACATTCAGCATTTGGTTTTTTGGGATTGGCTAACTTCACTTAACATTGTCTTCTCCAACGCCATCCATTTACCTGTAAATGCCATGATTTTATTTTCTTTTATTGATGAATAATATTCCATTGTGTTTAAATGTCACATTTTCTTTATCCATTCATCTACTGAAGGGCATCTAGGTTGGTTCCACAGTTTAGCTATTATGAATTGTGCTGCTATAAACATTGATGTGGGATGTGTCCCTGTAGTGTGCTGTTTTTCAGTCCTTTGGGTGTAGACCAAGGAGAGGGAAAGCTGGGTCAAATGGTGGTTCCATTCCCAGTTTTTCAAGCAATCTCCTTACTGCTTTCCATATTGGCTGCACCAATTTGCAATTCCACCAGCAGTGTATGAGTGTGCCTTTTTCCCCACATCCTCGCCAACACTTATTGTTGTTTATATGCATAATAGCTGCTGTTCTGACTGGAGTGAGATGAAATCTTAGAGTGGTTTTAATTTGAATTTCTCTGATTGCTAGCAATGATATATTTGTTGATTGAGTAAACTGTATATCATCTTCTGAGAAGTGTCTGTTCAGATCCTTGGCCCATTTATTGCTTGGGTTATTTATTTTTTTGGTGTTTAGCTTTTTGAGTTCTTTATATCCCTAGAGATTAGTGCTCTATCTGATGTGTGAGGGGTAAAGATTTGCTCCCAAGATGTAGGCTCTCTCTTCACCTCACAGGTTGTTTCTTTTGCTGAGAAGAAACTTTTTAGTTTGAATCCATCCCATTTATTGATTCTTGATTTTAATTCTTGAGCTAAAAATATGGAACCCTTCACGAATTTGTGTGTCATCCTTGTGCAAGGGCCATGCTAACCTCTGTATTGTTCCAATTTTAGTATATGTGTTGCCAAAGCGAGCATAAACTTTCTCCATTTTAAAGTGGCTGAAATATGTTTGGTTTAGTTCTTATGACAACCCATCCAGAATGTTTAATGTACTTGGGATCTTCTAATTTGTAGTCACTGAGCACTGGGTTTGCGTGCTATTAAAATAGTGATTTAGAAGCTCCATCTGAGAGAAGGGGAGAAAAAAAGATTTTGGACTCCAGAATTTAAAGGTCCCTATTTGGGTTCAGTCTTTTGATCTAGACTGACTGTATGAGCAGGAACCAAACTTTCCCATGTATAGTTTCCCCAAGAATGGGAAGCAGCCCTCAGTCGGGGTACATCAGTGGATTGGGTCTCACATGCAGGTGTCAGTATGGCAGCTTGAGGTAAAGTACTGATGAGAGTTGCTGACCTTAGTATCATAGATGTAGTTGGTGCCCAACTTACATCTTGACTAATTTGTCTGCAGAGCACTGGGCTTTTGAAACACTCCTTGGAGGAAGAAGTTGGGAACCAAAAAAGTCTGGGAAACGCAGCTTCTTACATTCCCATCTTAGAGATAAGCAGTCTGTGTAAAGCTCTGAGAAGTCCTGCAACAAAGAATCCTGCTTAGTATTGTTTAAACCAGTGTTCCCTAGACTCACTTGATCGTGGAATACTTTTTTTTTTTAAGTTTTATTTTCTTAAATAATTTTTTAATTTTTTAGTTGTAGATGGACATAATATCTTTATTTTATTTTTTTATGTGGTGCTGAGGATCGAACCCAGTGCCTCACGTATGTCAGGCAAGCACTCAACCACTGAGCTACAACCCCAGCCCTTTTTTTTTTTTTTAAGAAACTTATCAGGGTTGGGGCTGAGGCTGTGGCTCAGTGGTAGAGCACTTGCTTAGCATGCATGAGGCATTGGGTTCGATCCTCAGCACCACATACAAATAAACATATAAAATAAAGCTATTCTGTCCATCTACAACTATAAAAAAATTTAAAAAAAGAAATTTATCAGTACACTGGGGAGCTATTGTTCTGCTGAACACACTTTGGGTAGTGCTGGTCTATTTAATGAGGTAATAATGACATTTTTATGGCCTCTTTGCTATTCTGAGTCTTGTTCAGTAGTTACATTTTTATAAAAATTTTGTTTTATAATTTTTACAAAAAGGGCTCACGTATCCCAAGGATCAGAGTTAGTTACTCTGTGTTTGGTTAGCACTTTCTACCTTGGAGAACCTGGGAGGATTTCTATACGTTACTCCTCATCTTATGGCTCATTTGCTCCTGAGTTCCAGAGATCTGTTAGGGGGTGTACTCTGCTCTGAAACTATTTGAATTGTGGCCTGGCTCTATCACAGCTGACGTTAGTCCATCCCTTTCTGTGCTTCTTGAATGCCTACTACTCAGACTCACTCTGGCACAGACAGATGGACAGACACTACCAGGGTGTCATGAGTAGGCTCAGCTGTGGATCACATATGCCAAATATAAAACCACAGTGTTCTGTCTAGTCAAAACTGGGGCTCCAGTGTTATTGAGTCATTATTCCATTCTTTATTGTCTGACCACTTGTGATCAGATGAGGATTTGTTTCCTGAGCCCTTATGGCTAAGATGGAAGAGTGTGGGATGACGGTGTGGTTAAGTGGATTTGTAACTGATGCTGTGGCCTTACCCAGGGTGAGTTGCTTAATGGATCCATGTCAGCAGTGGGGTGGACTCCAGTGGTTTGCCACAGGGCCCTGTCCAGCCTCAGCCTCATCTTGGTTAACTTTTTTTAAAAAAATAATTAAGACACGAAGGCCCACGTATCATATTTTGCAGGGGATTTATATATGGGAGAATTAGCTAGTACAGTGGATAACAGTTAGGATTCAGAGATGATCTGAGGGGGCTAAAATGTTGAGGTGGCACTTAAAACAGATAAGAAGTTTAGAAAGTTAAGAATTTAGGTGTAGCCAGATGCAGTGGTGCATACCTATAATCCCAGTGGCTTGGAAGGCTGAGGCAGGAGGGTTGCAAGTTCAAAGCCAGCCTCAGCAACTTAGTGTGGCCCTTATTTTGAGACCCTGTCTCAAAATAAAAAACAAAAAGGGCTGGGAATGTAGCTCAGTGGTAAGGTATCTGACAGGCATTTGTGATGCTTGAGTTAGCACTGAAAAAAACAAAACCAAAAAACCTTAATGTCTGATGAGATCATATTGTTTGTGGCACTTGACAACCCATATATGGGGGATTGTTTGGTTCTGAGTACCTTATTTGATGAGGAACTCTATAAATGCACAGCTATTAGGGTTCATTCAGATAGTGATGTGTATGGAAATCAGTCATAGATAGTTGAAGGAAATGGATAATATTTAGACCAGTGAAGAAATGGCTGAGGGACGTGTGATAACTGTCTTCAGCTACGTGAGGGACTGTCGGAAGATTAAATAGCTTTCTTCATCCAAATAGCAAAATCAGGGCCATGGGTAGAAGTCGTTTTCATCACAATGGAGGAAGCGCATTCTAATAGTTAGATGGCCTTGTGAGAGACCCAAGTGATTTGGGAGGTCAGCTCTTCACTGGCAGCATTCCAGGACTGCCTGGACCTCTGCTGTTCAGAGAAGCTGTGAGAAGCCTTCTTACTGTGGGGAGAGGTGCCCAGTTGATTGCCAGCACCCTCGTAATTCTTCATTTCTAAACCCTTGAAGGTGGGTGAGGCTTGAGCCTGTGTGACACCTTCAGCATTACAGTGTGACACTTCAGGAAAATGACAGAAGCTTTGCCATTTATTTGTGCCACTTTTGAAGCTGTGGATTTCATGTGAAGTGCACAGCCTGTGCCTATAAGAAAGTGACTTACATGATGTGACTATTTATCACATGTGGAGCTTGTATGCACACATGTACGGCAGATACGTAATTAGGGAAACCAGAACTTAATGTGCCATCAGAGTGTTAAATTATTCAGTGTTCCTTTTGGTTGAATAAGGTATAATAATGGTTATTTTTTATATAGCTTGCTTGAGATGGAAAGTCAAAAAATTTTTAGACTGAGATAGACTGCATTCTTAATTTCTGACTTTTACTTTGTAAGCTTTAGCTTCTTCCTATATGTCCTTTTTTATTCCTTTATTCTCTCATTATGGTCTTCTCTTGTGTTAAATAGATATTTTCTATTATGCACTTTAATCCCCTTGTTTCTTTCACTGGATTGTTTTTGAGTGAACATCTTAAAACAATCTAGTTTGGATTAATACCTACTTAATTCTAATAGACACCAAGAACTGCTCCATTATCATTGTATTTTGCATACATTGAAATACTTGGAACCTGGTGTCCCATAGGTCTCTGAGGGCTCTGTGCATTTTCTTCTTCATTTTTTTATAATTCTTTCTTGGATTGGATAATCCAAAAATTTGCTGATTTTTTTCTACCAGTTCATATTTGTTATTGAGTCTCTCTAGTGTTTTTTTTTTTTTTGTTTCAATTGCTGTGTTTTTCAACACTAGAACTTCTACTTGTTTTTTTTGTTGTTGTTGTTTTAAATAATTTTTGTCTGTTTATCAATATTCTCTGTAGGGTAAAACATTTTTCTTATACTTTCCTTTATTTCTTTAGACATGCTTTCCTTTAGTATTTTGAACATGTTTATAATAGCTGATTTAAAGTCTCTGTTTGATAAATTCATTGTCTATACCTCCTCAGGGACACTTTCTACTGACTGCTTTTTACCCTGTGCATACGTCCTACTTTCCTGTTTCTTTGAATGTCTTGCACTTTTTTGTTGTTATTGTTGTTAAAAACTGGACATTTAAAATAATGTTGCAACTCTGGTAATCAGATTTTCCTACCTCTGAAGAATTTGTTGTTATTACCATTTATTGTTTTTGGTTGCTGCTGTTAAGTGACTTCCCTAGTCTCTGTTCTTTATCCTCTATGGCCACTGAAGTCTCTGCTTGGTGATTGGACAGAGATTTTCTTAAATGTGCTCAGGTGTTCTTTGTATGTTGGAACACCCCTTCACTATCCCAACAGTTTACCACTCTGCCTTAGCCTTCACTTCTTGCCTGTGCAGGGCAAGTCAGCCAGAATTGAGAGATCAGGGCCCCATCTGTTTTTTTTTTTCTGGGCACATGCACAGTACTGCACATGAACCTACATTCCAGACTCCCAGGAATAAATATATGAGAACCTTTCAAAGACAAACCCTGAGAACACCTCATCCCCCAGTTTTTCCTGTCTTTATAAATTTAAGCTTTCTTGGTCAGCTTCTTCTTAGCTCTACTGGCAGTGCCTCCTCTGGCATCTGTAGAGCTAAACTTACTTAACACTTATTGCTTTAAACAAATGCCCTGGAGATGGGATAGAGGTCAGATAAAGACTAGTTTCAAGAACAGTTTTCCAGCCAGGTGCCAGACAAGGCAAATCCTTTGGGGATTGGAGTTTAGGGAGATCTAAACCTGTTTGGCGCCTCTGGTGGCTGTTGGGCTGCTGGTTTTTACAGTATCATAGTTGTGAGACTGCTGTTTCAAGGCCGCCTTGCGTCACTTCTCCTGCTTAAGTACAAGTTGAAAGTCGCAGATCTTACTGATATGCAGCCATTTTTCATAATTACATGCACTTTAGAGTGTATCAAGCCTTTCATTAAATCTAGAGTCCTGAAAAAGTCAGTTGTGACTGTTTGGGGCAGCATTCTGTGTGGTGTTATGGAGGAGCAGATTTTCAGAGATGCAAAAGTTAGCTTCCTATTTGTGCTTCATCCACCAAGGCCCCCTTGAGCAACAAGACTCTGCCTTGTGCATGATGCACATTCTTTCTCACTCTCTGATGCTTCTCTCTTCTCAGCTGTCTCTGGTTCATGAATTAGCCCCAAGGAGTGCTAAAGAGCACAGGGTCCTACAAACTGCTGGTTACCAATCACTTTATTAGGAATGAGTTTCAACCTGCTTGATCCTGCATTACTAGCATGTACCATAAACTGGATCCTATTGATCTTCTGAATCACTCTCTCCTCTTGCCAGCAGAGTCCATTTTTTGCAATCTGGCCAGCTTTGTAC